AATCTGGCCTAAAGATTTAAGGAATGTCACGTCTCTTCGTTATTGTCAATCGATCATCCTAACTTTCATTGGGACCGTTCCTTAGATTAAGAATGATCGGTTCAGATTTATTAATCTTGTCTTTAATCTGTATAACTTTTATTATATATTACTTCCAATCTCGCTCGTTTCAGTACTTGTAGAATCCTCTACACGCTCGCGATTTCGTCGTCATATCATTACCGTCATTTAAAATGGAAGAAAGCATTTCTTTTTTTTTTAACTTGATGGCTTAAAGAGCAGCAAACTGGAGCAACGTTCACGAAATTGATTCTGTTCCTATAGTTTATTAGAATTGTGTATTGGTGAATTTTAATATCACGAGCATTTCATTAGATAGCTAATTGCGAAAGCTGATACATTTTCCTTCCATTTTTTTTATTCCATGCGCATACAAGATATCATGGCAATTTAAAGTGTGTCGATGTTGACATGAGATTTAAATTTAAAGTGTGTCGACCAAATGTGTCGACGTTGACATGAGACACATAAATTTAGTCACATGATTCCCTGTTCTCGAATTATATTTATTCATCGATATTAGCCAGAATATATATTACGGGAATTCAAATAGAAAGAGAGAGAGAGAAAGAGAAGAAGAAATCTTTTAAGGATGTATCTGACATATAGTCCCTAACAAAAATTTAACGTTAGAAATGTATTAATGTTTATATTTTCTATATAAAAATAAATATGAAAACTATAGATACGAAACAATTGTATCAGTAACATCATATTTTTATCAAAAATGATGATTTAAAAAAATTCTTTAAATATTCAAGATGATTTATGCAAAGTTTCATTGCAATTTCTGATTAGTCTATAAATAAATAAATACGACAAAACTTATTTGTTTATTTACTGAATAAATAATCAGTGAATTGCAATAAAACTTTGCATATATATTTTCGAATGCTTAAAGAATTTTTTTTTAAATTAAAATATAAGAAATAATAAATAATTACAAATACATATACAGTAAATAAACTATAAAAAAGTGTTAATTAAAAATATGATATTATTCACATAACTGTTTCGTATGTATAGTTTTCATATTAATTTTAGAAAGTGTAAATATTAACATATTTTTAACTTCAAAATTTTTGATAAATTGTATGTCAAATATATCTTTAATCATTACATGCGCTATTTATTGCATTTATACGTAGAACAATAAAAAAAAAATATGCAGCGGATTTATCTATGTAGAAATTTTCAAACGCACGATACAGTTTCCGTGGCATACAAAATGCATGCGGAAGAGGAAGAAGAAGGAAAAGAAGAAAGATAAACATATGGACAGAAAGGATCGATCTAGTGTACGTGAATATGTGAGTCGATGTCATGTCGGTGCAATTATTAAATATGAGAGGCTATTTCAATAACCTTATGAGTGTCAATTCCAATTTCAAGTGTAAATTGTAATTCGTGAGTCTTAAAAGAAAAAAAAAACAAAAAAGAGAAAAACAAGAGAGTGGGAGAGAGATAATATGGCATCAAACAACAGGAAAGAAGAATCAATGGTTAAAATAAAAAAAAAATAAGCACGCGCGTATCACGGCGTGGCAAAGTGAGATTATTGATAAACTTAATTTATCGAAATCGATAAAAAATGTTAGGAGTGAGAGAGAGAGAGAGAGAGAGAGAGAGAGAGAGAGAGAGAGAGAGAGTGTGTGTGTGTGTAAAAGAGAAAAAGAGAGAAAGAAAAAAATGTGTGAAAGAAAATGTGAAAGAAAAAAAACGCAAGAGAAAACATGAGACATACATTAAACTAAAAAAATAAAAAAGGTAAAAAAAAGACAGAAACTAAATTGTAGTACACGCAAAAATAACAAAGATAATGGATACTTTTTATTGTAGGTATTTCATATAGATAAAAATCGTAAAAATAATAAAAAGGAGCATACTATATTAACAGAAATACTCACTGAAAGAAGAACTCGTAAAGTTAACGGTGTTTTTTCTGCCTATACGTATATCCGACATCTCGTGAGCGCGCTGTGTAATTTCTTTCGTACATAAATAAAAAGGGTATAAAAAAGACAGCAGACGCGTCAATATAAATCCGGCATCTTGCGTTCTTCTCTCTGATATAAATGATTAATTATTACTACTATTATTATTATCATCATCATTATCATTGACACTGTACAAAGTCGGCAATAATTTTAAGAGACCTGCCCTTAAGATACCCCGTCTTATGTAATCGTTCAGAGATGAAATAAATGGAAGAACTCCATCTCGGCTTCGAATTAGTCTTCCCTTCCGGTTTTAGCCAGGAAGGGTTAAATCTTACGAGTTGGAGAGAATGAGGCCAACATTCAGGCAATGAAAATATCCAAGAAATGTCCGAAAAAAACGAGAAATATTTGAATTCGTGATTGCTGTCGTATTCGTCACTATCAGTTTTACACAGTGATTACATAATTATTGCGATAAAAAATAAAAATATAACTTTAAATAATTGAAAAAAATAACAATTAGAACAAATTAAACAAATATAATGTATTAAATAAATAAATTATGTATAAATTAAATATTAATTAAATTAATTTTATTGTGTATCCTTAAAAATACACTTTAGTATACATAAGTGAAATATACATAAAAAATAAAGCTATAAAGCTTATCTAACAAATTTGAATGAACGTGATTAATTAAATTATAAATTTTACATAAAGATACTAAGATTATTTTGATTGATTAGATATTATGCAAGAAAGATAAACTTGAATAAAATATCGCGTATCGCATATAAATACGTAACGAAGAGTATGAAGAACTTCAGCAGTATGAAAGGAGAGACAGAATACGGAAGACAGTATTTGACAGTGTATGAAATAAATTAAGCGGAAAGATATAAAATCAAAGTTAGAATTTTGGATGACGTGATATAAATAACATCCCATATTTGATAATTTTGAAATATGTAAATATATATATTTTTATTTAAATTTTAATTTAAACACCGTTATTATCAAACTTTTTGTCTTCGCAAGTTCACCATAAGATTTTGACAACGTTCATTTTTATTATTATTTTACGCAATTATCTATTTATTCTTAGCATTAGATTTAAGAACAGAGAGAGAGAGAGAGAGAGAGAGAGAGAGAGAGAGAGAGAGAGAGAGAGAGAGAGAG